TTTCGCTTTCCTCTGAGAAACTCGCAAAAATTTTTCGCGAGGGAACCAAGCGGGCGTGGCTTCAGCAACCTGCTCCCGCCTCTTTGCCCATTTTCGATTATCCGGGAGTGACGCTCGGTGACGCGCTGCCAAGATGGCGACGGCCGCCTCCGCCCACTTTTGAGCTTCAAAAAAGCTCTTCAGAAACCTACGGGTGACGTCACGGACACTACGTCCATGTTTTTATACAGTCTATGGAGGGAACGTGACAGCAGCCTTTTCACGCCACTAAATAAAAAAGGAAACTGCGACCCTTTTTTTCCACAATTCTGACTATATAACAAGCAACTGTGCGTTATAAAGTCAGAATTGTGAGATATAAACACTGAGGCACGTAAACGGTTATTTGTTTAATGTCGGGAATTGCTCCTGCTTATTAAAAAGCTACGTTCATACATTACAGTAGCAAACATCAGATGAACATGATAAACACCGGACGGACGAGATCCTCAACATATACATAACAAATGACAAAGTGCTCATTCTGAAATCTGAATAAAGATGTATGCTTTGTAGCTAATACACATATACCTTCATTCGCCTTGTACAGGTATTCATTGTTTATGTCATTTTGTTATAGTGTTTTTATTCGTACAGTAGGCTAACTGCAAATGTTTCAACAATGATTTCGTTAACAGCATTCATTTTGAAGCAGGTAATGATTTAGACGCTGGTTAAATTAATTATTCATTTAACATACCTAACATTTTACATGGAAACGGTAATGCTAGTAAAACGCCTTATTTGCGCGATTTTGGAGAGTCTGAAACAGTTGCTCAATCAGGACATTTAATCAGGACATTAAAAATATACATTCAGTCCGTCTGCCATATTTTGTTCAGACCAAGCGGCAACCTCTCTCGTGAAGCCAACACAGAAGTGACAAACTGTAATTCATCGACTGGCCCCTAGAGGCTGGCTGCAAAAGGGAGTCAGTCCCATAGACTTGCCATGTTAAAATGCCCAACTTTACAGCAGAAAAAAAAATGTTTATAGCCTGGTACAAATAATTATTTTGGTCTATATAGCTAATTTTGCCCTTCATGACAACTGTGAGGGGGGTGAATTTTTTTATAACTCATCCGTTTAAATTATATTAAGCCTTAAAGTTCTGCATAATTAAGGGCGTGGCCACTTGAGTGACAGGTGGATTTGCCTCTGCGGTCACCACCGTCGAGC